GTCGGGGCCGACTCGACGGCACATAACAACAACAACAACAACAAGATGATGGGAACTCCAAGATGAAGCAATTAACAGCTGTGTTCATTTCACACATATTCACTGAGCACTTACTATGTGCCAGGTCCTGTTCTAGATGCTTGAGGTATGTCAGGAAACACAACAGTTGGAGACCCCTGCCCGCAGAGAGCTTACCTTCTCTTTCAGAAACGACAACAAACATAAAAATATGTAACTTACATAATATGTTGGAGAGTGATAGAAACCTCCATGCTGTGACTCATGGCAGCTTTGTCTGGGTCAGAGTAGAACTGTGCTCCATAGGGTTTTCAATGGCTGAGTTTTCAGATCACCAGGCCTTTCTTCTGAAGTGTCTCTGGGTGGACTTGATTCTCCAACCTTTTGGATAGTAGCCGAACCTGTTAGCCATTTGCAGCACCCAGGAACTATGTAGAGTGATGAATGGTATGGGAAAAAGGAAAAGTAGAGCAGAGCATGGGGATTTGGAGTTCAGGCAGATGGTGGGGTAGCAGCAGGTTGGGGTGAGGAGACTCATGCAATGGTGTGATGTGAACGAGACAAGGAGGAAAGCAAGTAGAGGTCAAGGTTCAGAGTATTCCATGAGGTGAAATAACTTGGCTCCCCAAGTCTCTGTGTCCCTTCATATAAATGAGAGATGGGACTAGGTATAATCTTTCCTCTCTTCCACTCCTTACATTTGATTAAACACTCTACAGACCTGCCTGTGTCACACCTGCTGCTGGTCTGGACCTCGTCTTCAGTCTGTGCCAGATGACTGACCCAGCCCTGTAGCAAGCTGCAGGCAAGTCAATTCCTCACATCCCAACTCAGTTTCCTCAGCTGTTAAGTAAAATTGATGGATTCCTTCTGAGATTTCAATTTTTAGAATGTGAGGCTGAAACTAATTTAAATGAACATATTTTAGCTTTCTCCCCCTGCTTAAGTTATGCTGCTGAACAAAAGTAGACTTCAGTTGGTGTTGAACTATTTGTTCTTTCACTGCCTTAACTGGTCTTAAAAGTCAGCTATTGAATCTCATTCTATCTGTCACTTATTGTCCAGGCAGTGATAAAGAAACTGGAAAATGAACTGGGCTGTGCAATACAATGGACCAGCTGCTGTGGGCTTTTGAATCTGATAGTCTGGGTTTGAATCCTGGATCTGTCGTTTATTTATAAGCTTCAGGCTCCCGGGAAAATTACTTAACCTGTCAGAGCCAGAGTTTCTACCCCTTTATAACTAGGTGGAAAATAATGCTTTCCTTATGACAATATCATGGGGATTAAATGAGAAAATAAAGTTAAGTGCTTTGGAAAATGCTGGCATATTGTAGATACTTGGTGTAGGAACTGCTGCTATTATTATTATTTCTCTGATTTCTAATATAAAATAAAATATGTCCTTGTTGTTGTTGTTATGTGCCGTCGAGTCAGCCCTGACTCATAGCGACCCCTCCTTGGGTTTCCGAGGCAGTATCACTACGGAAGTAGGATTGCCCAACCTTCCTTCCGGGGAGTGGCTGGTGGGTTTGAACCGCCAGCCTGCTGGTTAGCAGTCAAGTGCCTTAGCCACTACACTACCAGAGCTCCCTACACAACAAAAACACAACGTGCTGCCATCGAGTCAGATCCGACTCATAGCAACCCCTTCTTGGGTTTCCAAGGCAGTATCACTACAGAAGTAGATTGCCCAACCTTTCTTCTCAGGAGTGGCTGGTGGGTTTGAACTGCCAGCCTTCTGGTTAGCAGTCAGATGCCTTAGGCAATATATCCTAGCCTATCTATATATTTTTTCCTTTGCCCTATTGGAATTAAAAAAAAAACAACTCGTAAGAAGTCAGGCATAGGCGTGGAATAAAGTTTGTGCCTTTAGTCTTTTGACAGTTCATGTCAAGAAGTGGGCTGGGTCATGTGGTAAATGTACATGAGTCTAGCTCTGCCCCTTACCAGCTGCATAATACTCAGAAAAATCTCTTCTGAGCCTCAGGGACCTATTTATAGCTGGGGATGATAACAATTCTG